GCTAAGGGTTTATTGATTTTATTTATGCTTTCAAAAAACCAACTCTTCAATTCCTTGATTTTTTTTTGTATTGTTCTCTTAGTCTCTATTGCATTAATTTCTGCTCAGATCTTTATAATTTCCTCCCTTTTATGAGCTTTTGGTTTGTCTTACTCTTCTTTTTCTAGGAGCTTAAGGTTGTTTATTAGGTTATTTATTTGAGCTTGCTCTGTTTTCCTAGTATGGGCATTTACTGCTATGAATTTCCTTTTTTGAACTGCTTTCATTGTGTTCCATAGATTCCTGTATGTTGTTTTGTAGAAACTGTCTATAATTTAATTGTAGAAACTGTCTAATTTCTTCTTTAATTTCCTCTGTGACTCAGTGGTTGTTCAGCAGGGTGTTATTTAATTTCCATGTGTTTGTGGAGTTTTTATGGTTTCTTAGGCTATTGATCTCCAGATTAATTGCACTATGGTCTGATAATATACAAGGGATAACTTAAATTCCTTAGCATTTACTTAAGCTTGTTCTATGAGCTACCATGTGGTCTATTTTGGAGAATGACCCATGTGCAGCCGAAAAGAATGTATATTCTGATTCTGTGGGGTAGAACATTCTGTAGGTATCTACTAAGTCCATTTGTTCTAAGACTTGGTTCAGTTCTATTATTTCATTGTTTATTTTTTGTCTAGATGATCCATCTATTTGTGTCAGTGGAGTATTGATGCCCCTCCTACAATTGTATTAGTGCTTATTTCATTTTTCATTTCCATTAATATTTGTTTTGTATAATTGGCAGCATTAGTATCTGGTGCATATATATTTATAGTTGTCCTTTCTTCCTCTTGAATTATTCCCTTTACAGTAGTAATGTAGTAGTTTCTTTGTCTCTCTTAATTAGTTTTGGTTTGAAATCTGTTCTGTCTGCAAATAAGATAGCTATCCCTATTTTTTTCTGGGCTCCTGCTATATGGAGAACAGTTTTCCATCCTTTTACTCTCAGTCTATGAATTTCTTTATGGATTAAGTAGGTTTCTTGTATACAGCATATTATTGGATTTTGCTTCTTTATGCATTTCCATTCTGCCAGCCTATTTGTTTTGACTGGTGAATCGAGGCCATAATATTGATGTTTATAACTATTATGTATTGGCTTTTCATTGTTATGTTATTTTCCTGTTGGTTCTTTTATTGTTTTATTTTTCCCCTCTCTCCCTTTAATTTCTTCCCTTGCCTGCTATATTTGCTCTGTTGGCCCCTCAAGGAGATGTGGCCTTTGTTTTCTTTTTCCAGGATATTGTTTAGAAGTGTTTCAAGTGCCAGTTTGGTATTCATGGAATTTATCAGGTGTTTTTAGTCATGGAAGTATCTTATTTCCCCATCCATTTTGAAAGAGAGTTTTGAAGGATACATCAATCTAGGTTGGAGGTTGTTTTCTTTTAGGACTTGCAATACCAAGCTCTCCTTGACTTGAGGGTTTGTGTTGAAAAGTCTGCTATGATTCTGATGGGCTTTCCTTTGCATGTGATTTGTTTCTTTTCTCTAATTGCTTATAGTATTTTGTTCTTCTGTTGGGTTTCCAGGATCTTGACTATTATATGTCTAGGTGTAGATTTTCTTTGATCATGGCTAGTTCGAGTCCCATATACCTCCCTTATCTGTATGCCAAATTCTTCCCCTCTGTTTGGGAAATTTTCTGTCATTAATTCTGTGAACAGTTTTTTATGTCATTTTTACTTCTCCTGCTACTTCATGGATTGCTATCAGTCTTATATTATTATTCTTTGCATCATCTAAGAGTTGTTGGATTGATTTCTCATGTCCCTTACTTTTTAACATATTTCTCTTTTCATGGTCACTGACTGCAATCTTATTTTCTATATCTGAAATCCTATCTTTACATTCATTGATCCTGCTGCAAATGCTTTCTGTAGAGTTTTTAATCTCCTGGATATGTTTGAATTTGTTTCATGGATTCCATTTCTTTCCTATGTTGTGCATTCAAAGTTTCCATTTTTTTCCTATGCTTGGCATTCATGGTTTCCTCATGGTCCTGAGCTCATCTATTTTGTTTTATCTGTTTCTATTCTAGAGTCTCTGATCATGTCTTTCATTCTTCTCACCATCTCTGTGGTTATCTGGGAAATTATTTCTGTTTTGAATTTTTCCAGATCCTCCTATTTTTTTTGTTACTTCTTCTGCTATTGGTTCAGGGTGTCCAAATGGTTGAGTGTCAGACTTTTCCACCTCATTTTCTCCAGAGTTTACCTTTGGTGATGTGGAAGTCTATGTTTGTAACCTGTTTAAATGTCTTCTCATTTCTGTTTTTGTCACTGGCACTGTCCTTGGTTTATTTCCTGGGTTAATACTTTGATCTTCCAGATATAGCTGGTCTTTAGCTTTTGAGTCCTAATGGCTCTGAGGCTATCTAATTTTCATTATACCAGAAAGGACAACTGATTAGATCAATCACAATACCTTAGCCCAAGTGATACAGTCAGCAACACAGTAGCCTGAAGCATGGCTTAGAAAATGCAATTTGTGGTAGTTATTAATCTATCATCTTTAACCATGTGAATGAAATAAAAATCAAAGACCAGACCAAAATAGTTTATAGTGAATAAACACTTCAATATAGAAAATTTACTCTTCAGGTTGGGGATTTAGAAGGAGTTGGGGAGGGAGAGAGGGATAGATAGGATAGAGAAAGGTTAGAAGTGAGATCAGAGGACACAGGAAGATCATACAAACTCTAGGGAGCTTTTGAAGAGAAGAGGAGAAGACAGAACAGAATATTCCCCAGAACAGAGCATACTAACAGCAGTAGGGAGGCTAGAGACTATAATCACTTTCTTTTAAAACTAATGGCAGTTGAGAGAAGGAAAAAGAGAAGAAAGGGAAAAGACAGAAAATAAATTTGAATTAGGATAGGAAGAGGAACAAAAAGGAGTAATAAAGATCAAGGTGGGAGAGACAGTGAGAGTGAGAAAGAAAAGAAGATAAGAAAAAGATTTTAAAAAGGAAAAAATTGAGAAAAGAGAAAGATAATATTTTTAAATGGTTGAAGATAAGTGAAAAATATTACTTTGAAAACAAAAAATACAGCTGGTCGTAGTGGCACATGCCTGTAATCCAGCACTTGGGAGGCTGAGGCAGGAGGATCACTGTGAGTTCGAGGCCAGCCTGGGCTACATAGTGAGTTTTAGGTCAGTCTCAACTACATAGTGAGACCCTGTTTCAAAAAACAAAAAAATAAAATAAATAAAATATACAAATAGAAATAAAGGGCATCCTTCAGGGTGTGCCTCTGTTGACATGAAAGCTTGGGCAGGAGTATGCAGGTCTAAGTTAGTCTCAGCAAGCCAGCAGCTGTCCCCTGAGGTTCAGGCTGATTTTTGGCTGCAAGACCCAAGTTGAGATCTCTGACCTCTTGCGGGGTTGAACAATGCAAAGTTCTTCTGCAGGTTCCAGCTGTCTTTCCCCTGAAGTTAGACCAGGTTCTGATGTGAGGTGCTGGTCCTTCCAGCTTACGAACTATGGTGGAGTGGTGTGCCTTTGTTGCAGAATTTCTTCACTTTTCCAGTGGGCTTCAATTGCCCTCTAGGAGCCTCAGAGAGGCCCTCTTTGTCTTGTGTGCAGGGGCGGGTGGGGCACATGAACACTGCTGTATTGGTGCCCGTGTGGCAGGGCTCCTCTGTGGCACCTGGTCAAAGGGGCAGGCCTATCGGAGTATACTCTACTTTTTTCTTTAAACTTCCTTTAGCCTTCCAAGTCTAGTGGTGACAGTCTCTCATAGTTTTCCTTCATTTGAGAATGACTGCGGCCAGTCATGGTGGTGCACATCTGTAATCCCAGCACTTGGGAGGCTGGGGCAGAAGGACCACTGCATGTTGAAGGCCAGCGTGAACTACATAGTGAGACCCTGTCTCATAAACAACAATAATAAAACAAAAACAGAAACAGGAGCAAAAAAGAGAATGACTTTATTTTGCCGAAATTCACCAAATATGTTTTCACTAAATAGCGAGTTGTGTTGACAGGTTCTTGGTGTTTGTTGTGTTTTTCTCCCAGCACTTGTTTTCTTTTTATTTATTTTTTTTTTTAGAAATTCTCGGACATTTGAATTGTTCCCCTGTAGGCAGCATTTCATTTTTCTTTAGCTTTCAAGATTATTTTTCAGCAGCTTGTATATATTCTTTTTTTTTTTTTTTTTTTTTTTTTTTTCTTGGATTTAAAAAAAAGGACCTTGAGCTTGCGAGGCAGATGGTGGCAACACTGAGCTAAATCCCCAGCCTACTTGTATATAAAAGGCATAATTTTGAATTTATCCTATTTGGGATTGACCAGGTTTCTCAAATCTAAAAACATCTTTACATCATTTACCAAGTCTGGGGAATTTTTGGTCATTGTTTCTTCAGATGTTTTTTCTGCTATAATCTCTTCTTTTCCTCCTGATATTCTAGTAACATATATGTTAGACCTTTTAATATTTTCTCACAAGTTCCCAGGACTCTGTTTTTTTAACAACCTTTTTTTCTTTCTATTCTTCATATTATCCAACATCTATCGATTTGCTGATATTTTACTTCTCTATCATGCTATTACCATCCAGTTAGATTTTTCATTTCAGATATTATGTTTCTGTAGTCCTAGGATATCTTTTTGGTTCCTTTTTATAAATTGGAATTCCCATCTTTTTATTCATTTCAGGTATACTTTTCTTCACTTTATGTAACATAGTTATAATAGCTACTTCAAAGCTGTAGGTTTTGGTATTGTAGTAAGTAGCAGTGATGGTTGTGAAATGGACCATGGCAGAGCAAAAGAATATTTTAACATATGACTAAACAAAGAGGTCAAAGAATAATATCTTCTTACTTTACCTTTTCTGTGCAAGAAACTTGAACTATGAATAGTTAATTCTAAGCATCTCATATTTAAGCAGCAGGATGAGAATTCTGTGGAGTGGGACTTCTGTAATGACTGAGAAGTGCTGCTGCTTGGTTCTGTCTTCTCAGGTATTAGGATCATCCCTGTCAGATGACACGGAGGCCTATTTGCCCCAGGTGGAGCACCAGCACTGAGGACATGGTAGGTCAGGCTGCTCTTATTTAAAGCAACAAGAGATGTTTTGTGCCTTTGCTGAAGAAATTTGTCAGTGGGAACATTTTCTGCTGTTTGACTCCATGAACTCCTCACAAAGCAGGCCTCATGTCACTTAGAGTACCAGAAGTAGTGTTTATCTGTGGTACAAAACCCCTTTTCAGGCTCCTGCATTTTAGTGATGACAGGTGCTCATGGAGGGAACCGAGCAGACATACTTACCTCCTCCTCAGAGCCTAAACAGATGGTATGGTTGCTGGGCAGTCTCTTTCCCAACAAAGATTTTAAGTATAATTTCTTAGTGGTTAAAAAAACTCTAAAAAATTATAAAACTGTAATAGGTAATGCAGGCACCTAAGAATGCATTGTGGAACACATAGGAAGACATACTTCAAGCTTAGTCCTTTAATCAGTTTTGTGGTTGAGCTTCCTGGTGAATATTTCAATTTTCTTTATAAAAATAAAAACAAAAACCAGAACTTTTTGGGCAATACCTTACTATGTGCCCTTAAGCAAATCCTTCAATGTTTAATGTCTCATGAGCTCTATAAAATAGGATGGTAATGAAATCTCATGTTCTCACAACAGTATTATTGAAATTAGTCTGTTAACCTCCACAGACTACTTTGAAATTCTGGAGCATCAAACAGAGTTTTCTGTAAGGTGAATGTAGGATTTGATCCCCCTTTGCACAAGCCCTTCCAACTCCAAGGAGAGGTCTTGACACTGCACTCATCTGAGCTAATTCATGTGAACTTTGCAAAGCCAGTTCATATAAACCACAGGCCCCACAAGACTTGGATCTGTTTTATCAAAATCAGACATTCTTTGGATAAAAAGAGATAGCAGGCTGTATGTACTACTCTGAATTGGTAATGATCCTAAAGATTGCTTTTAAATTTTATTTTAATGCATATAATCTAAAGTTTCCTTAGACTATATACCCACCAGTATTATCAGTATGTATACGTACAAGTACGACGCGAGAAAGCAAGTGAGGCAGAAATCACTTCCCAGAAAGATTTTATGTAAAAACAACAACAAAACCATTTGGCCTTGTCTTTCTGTGCTTTCAGGTGCTGCATCTGAGATAACATCCTTCTGTGACAGGAGTACTGTTATCCTAGGAGGAGAGATGCATGGTTTTCTTTCCTTCTGAACTGCCTGCTTCTTCTGAGAAAGGCTCTATAGAGGAAGGAAAGACAAAGACTTGCAGTCATTTCGCAGGAAGACTGAACAAGCGTGCCCCTTCTCCCCTCTTCAGTCTGTTGATGCTGTTTCTGGATGTATCTAATGAAGAATAGTGATATGGGTCTTGTTACATGAATGTGCATTTACTGTTAGTAGATTGTATATTTAAAGTTAGCCAAGATTAAAAGTGAATAAAAAAGAAATGTAAAAGGTCATGTTATTCATGCATTGAACTTTGTGCGCTATTTGTATAAAAGCTTACTGTTAAAGAAAACGAGAAAGCTAGGATTTGTAAGAGAAAATGTTTCCCTTATCGTAACTATAAAAACACACCTAAAATTCCTGTTTCCTGGCACTGAGGTGCTCTGTAACTGCAGGCCACAGGAGGTGTGGGTCTGTGGTCACGGTGACTATTGGGTGTTGAGTCTGTGTGTGATGGGAATCAAGGAGAAACCATGACTTCTGACTTAGCACAGCTCTGGCCTCATTGTCCCCTCTGTAAGGAGAGTCTAGTATCAGGGTTCTTTGTAAAGGAGCACAATTGGAGCAGGGGTGGAGAAATGTTAAAGGTGTGCCTTGGAGCTGAGTCAGTGGTTGCTCATTAGAAAAAGTAGTGTATAGTCTGGGGATTTAGGTCAATGGCACTGAGCTCGCCTTGTAAGCGCAAGGTCCTGAGTTTGATCGATCCCTGGTATCAGAAAAAGCACATACAAAATGTGCTAGGAAGTGGGCAGCCACACTGGGCCAGCTGCTGTTGAAGAATCAGGTGGAAGGGGCTTCTGGAGGGAACCCCTGTTACCTGGACTCTACTCTGTCCATGGTAGTTTGAGGGTAGTAATAGACAGAAGCCACAGAAGTTCTAGTTTCTTCGTTACCTCAGACACCTAGGCTTTCCCCAAAGCTTCTCACCAAAGTGCAAAGTCATCTGTCTACCCACATTCCTTACACAGCTTCTGATGCACAGGTCTACAGCTTTGTAGGATGAGTTTGGAGTAGTTTGGGCCTCAGGTTCCTGGTTTCTGGGTTTCCAGACACACTCTGCTTTTATCATATTTAGAGAACAGTTGTGATGGGGGCCAGAGTTTGTTAAGAGTTTTTGACCTTAGCCAATTATAGTGTGGTATTTTCTCCAAAAGTTATCGACTAGACCTTAGCCCAAGGGTTTAACTAGAATTCTTTGTTATCTTGAGGAGCTTGATATTAAAATTCTGACATTAGATACTTCGGCATCCAAAGGACCTTCCAGAGGAGGTTAAAAAAAAAGGGTTCTGATGTACAAGTCCATAGAAAGTGATTCAATTAAATTTGGCTTTGGTGTCAAAGCTCTGTCTTCAACCTCTGATGAAATGTTTGACTAGCTTACCACAGCTAGCATGTTGAGGGAGGAGGGACTAATGTAGGCCTTAATAAGCTTCATATTAAAATATCATTTTATAGGGCTGGGGATTTAGCTCAGTGGTACTGCATCTACCTCGAAAGAGCAAGGTCCTGAGTTTGATCCCCAGTACCAGAAGAAAAAAAATTATTTTCAGTTTGAAAAGTATTGCCAACAGGTTCTATGGCATGGAAAGTGACCATATGTAAAGCCATCTGGCACCCCCAGCTTATTTCAGTGATGTTTTTATGTGAAAAATCAGGAGGAAGATATTAGCTCGATATCTGAGTGTAAGATCAGTTGCCTTCTAATTCCTAGTTGGCTTTTAGTATCTTTGCCTAATTTAAGCATTTTGTGCACTTTAGAATCAAGGGACTAAGAATCATCCCTTAAGTCCATGTTGGTACTTAAGGCTCTTATCTGTTAGACCCTTGGCTGAATGACTACAGAAAGATTTTGCGAATTAGAGCTATAAACACAACTAAAATAATCTCTTTTTAAAAGAAGTTTATGGTTATTTACAAGAGTGGGATTTACTCACCTATTAATATGAAATGTGTATCTGTACTAGTGGGGGGGTCAGTGGGCTTGCTGTGTGTATGAATGTTTGAAAATTAATAAATATCTTAGCTCCATAGGTGACTTTAGATTTATTTAGGAGACTATAAATAACATATACACCACTGTATGGTATCTAATAAATACATCTGAAATAATCTGCTGTTTTTATTTGAAACTTTGGCTCTAGGGGTGGGAGATAAATTAATTTCCCATGACAGAAGCATGATGATAAAACAATGACTTTCAAAGACGGCCTGAGAAAAGCCGGGGCAGATCTGGGCTTAGAGGCCGATTCTCCTGGTGGAGAATTTCCTGCTTGGTGGAAATGTCTGACTTCCAGGTGAAGTGGGAACACAGAAGGAGTGCTTTCTTACGTGACCCTCAACTTTGCTACTTTTATCTTAGTTGTGCTATGATATAAGCCCGCCTTCCAGATGAGACGATGCTGAAGAATGTAGTTGGCTTGTGTTTGAACCTCTGGTGAGGAATCCACAAACCACCAAGCATGCCTGGCTCTGATCTGGACTATAGGGATTGTTCTTGGTTGTTTTGGGCTAAGTGTGTTTACATTAGAAAGGAGCCCCAAACCCTCTTCTCCCTGTACAAAATATTGTCTTCTTGTGTTGCTTTTTAAAGGGTCTTTTCTTCCCCTTGATGGCTTAAAATGACTTGAAAATCGAATTAGCACGAAGTGTGTTTTCCTGCAGGCCCTCCTGAGAGGCCTCACCACAGGTCTCCACGTCAGCCCTAAGACTATGAGCTTTGTGCTGCTATTTGTTTGTGGCTGTCTGATGCCCAGTGTACCACACAAAACCCACCCAGAAAAATAGCATTTTCCTATTTTCTGTAAAAAAATTATTTCCCCCACAGTATAGCCTTAATACTTCTTATTCTCTACCTTGGCACTTAGGGTCATTTCCTTAAAAAGTGAGAAAAGTTCCTGTAAAGTTTTGGAAAATGTTTTGTCTGTTAACATGAATCAACATAAAAAAAGGACCAGGGATATGAAAACAACATACATCCCAGCACCTTTTCTGTCCCTACGTTAGGGTGCAGAATAGAATGTCACTGCCTTGCTCAAGCATTAGTGTCTAATAAAAACAAGGTACCACACCTTACCTATTTGTGTACTACGTCTAGTATGGTGATTTTTATGTGATAATAGCAATAACTATGAAAGTAGGAATGTTGTTCACATTTTACAGACAAAACAATGGGCTTAAAACATTTGAAGAGCTCTGCATGGTGGTGCACACTTATAATCCCAGCACTTGAGAAGCCAAGGCGGGAAGATCAGGAGTCTGAGGCCAGCCTGGACTACATAGTGAGACCTTGTCAGAAAAAACATATTTGAAGAATTAACCCTGTGTCATTTAGTAAATGAGAAATTGTGAGTGTTGACATCAATATATGGTTATGATTATTAGATCTGGGATTAGTTTTAGAAATAACACGTTTAGGTAATGTAAACTCTGGGAGCAGAGACTCGGGAGCCACAGTTGTCCTCACTCACTTCCATAGGCTTCACTCTCACAGGACTGTGTGGATTCTGCCGATCCCTGATGTAATGGGGTGGCAGGGGAGTGGCTACACTGGCCTTGCCTGGGCTAAAGGAGAGACGGCAAGTGGGGTCTTGCGAATGGATGTGGGCCAACCACAGCCCGGCCTGGGGCCACTGCTTCACACAGCCATGGGGCAGAGAGGGTGGTGCTGGAGGAGCCACCTGCTGGAGTGAACACTTGGAAGCTCAGAAGGTTTGTGCCATCTTGGTTTGGGGTAGATTGTGCCAAATTGTCCTCCAAGACGCTGTGCCAATTTATATTCTCACCAGTGGTGTAAGTCGAGCTTCTTATGTGAGGTACTGGTAACGTTTGTTTTCCAGTCTGATGGCTGGAGATGAACTTGCTTTGACTTGTTTTGTTGGCTACTGCTGAGGTTACACGTATGGTCTGACTATTTGAATTCTTTCTGTGAATAAAATATTAAAGAGCTTTAAAAAGGGTAAAACAGATGTTAGTTAGCTCAAGTATTGGACATTTTCTTCAGTAGATATTTTTTGTATTTTTTTTTCAGACAGAGTCTCACTATGTAGTTCAAACTGGCCTTGAACTCGCTATGTAGCTCAGGTTCCCAGGCAATCCTCCTGCCTCGGCCTCCCAAGTGCTGGGATTACAAGAAGGCACCATCACACCCAGCTATCTTACCTTTGAAAAGAAAGGCAAACTCTAGATTCAGATAGAGTGTAACATAAATATGAGTGTATTGTGGGTCAAAAATTATTTTCTGTGGGAAAATGGAAGTCATGCAGAAAGATATATTTTTAATTATACTTGTAAGTGAGGTGGTTGAGTCCCTCTTGGAGGTAATGAGCCAATGGGAAATAAATCCTTCCCAAGTTATCTAAGGAAGTGTAGGCGAGCGAGCCCTGGAGCTGCTGTCTACTGCTTTCCATCATTCACCATTGGGCTCTGCCCAGCTGCCAGGTCGCAACCCAAGAGGTGGAAGTGAAGCCTATACTCTGAACCATACCCGTCCCAAGAGGGTGGCACAGTAGAACCTGAGATGAATTCTACCTGAGTGGATGTCGTTGTATCTGGGCATCCAATGCAGTCTTCTTTTTTCCCCTTTTTAAGGACATGGTGTGATTATGGAATGCTTAATCTATTCCACCTTTGAGGTGGACTGATAGGGAAGGACCACCATCCAGACCACCAGCCAGTGCTCCCTCGTGGGCACTGCTGGGCACCAGTGGTCCAGACCACAGGCTCTGTGGAGCATGTGAAGCCAGCACGCAGCTCTCCCCCAAGTCCTTGTGTCTGGATGAGGGAGGAGGATTCCTATGTCAGCAGATTGCTGTCACTCAGGTCAGCGTGGTAGAGCCTGTGGTTGGTGAGAGCACGGGGTGATATGGAGAGCTGCGGAGATCACCAAGAGTCCTAAGTGAAAGCAGGAGGCTGGAAGACTATGAAAGTCACTTTGCCTCTCGAACGGAAATCGGGCAGATGGAGGAAGGCAGAGTGGCCGGAAGCCCATCGGGCCATGCCCATGGATACCAGTCTAGTGAGGACTCTGCACGACTCTGGAATTCATTGGAAACATGGTTCCAGTGTGATGTCTGTGTAAGTGGCAGAATGTAAGCTGCCGTAATGAATGGAGTGTGCGAATCAGTCCACTCTGGCCCTGGCCTGTGGTGTGGTTGTTTGCCTGCAGCATGCAGCCCAGACATGTCTCTCTCCTTGATGGCGGTTGTCTGGTAAGTGTGAGTCCACCAATCCTGCACTGCAAAGTATCCAGACATGCCTTGTACAGGAAATAGGCCATCTACTGTCTGTCTAAAATTTAAGTCCATACTATACCTCTCAATATATTGATTTTTTTTTGTTTGCTTTTTTTTGATACTGGGGATCAAACTTGGGTCCTTGTACTTACAAGACAGGAAGTGGAACCACTGAGCTAAATTCCCAACCCTTTTGTCTGCTCTTAGAAACAGGGTCTTGCTATGTAGCTCAGCCTGGCCTTGAACTCACTATGTAGTCCAGGCTGGCCTTGAACTGATAGCAATCCTGTCTCAGCCTCCCAAGGGCTGAGATTAGAGGTGTGTGCCATCATGCCCAGTTTAGTATAATGATTAAATAAATTAAAAAAAAAAAACACCAAAGACAAGTGACGGACTGCAGAAAAGGAGAAATATATTGCCAATATGGAAAGAGAAGACTTCTAAAACACATTTTAAACAAATATATCAGTATGACTATATGAACTCTATCTTGAGTGACAGTAGGCATCCAATTCTCCAACTGAAATTATGAAAGATATTTCTAAAGAGAGATGTTAAAATGTTGATTATGTGCAGAATGTGTAACAAACTCTTCATGAAGAACTAGCTGGAGAGTAAATAAATTTTATTGGCAGAAAACCAGTTTATTTGTGTCCATTGAACAGATATTTGAAGAATAACAGGTTTTTTGTTGTCATTGTTTTGTTTTTGTTTTTTGCTGTTTAAATGTGCATAATGGAGGTCCAGGGACTTAGTTCAGTGGTTCTGCCACCTGCCTTGTAAGCACAAGGACTGATAGAAAAAAAAAATTTTTTTTTGCTATAATGGGGAAAAGGAAATGCTATTGATACATAGCAAAAAATATTCAGGAAAATCTTGCTTAATCCAGTCTTGCTAACTTCAAATTGATAGAATATTCACATTGCTTTTTTTCCTCTTATTTTACTACATCTGAAGATATGCATTTAAATCACAATTATCAATCCAGTGTGATGGTGTTACAGGACAAATAAGCCAAGGGAACAACATTGAGAATTTAAAAACAGACCAATGTACATACACGTGAGAACTTGTATAATAACAAATGAAATGGAAGGGTTGTCTTGGAGATTATGTTGAGGAAACCAGTTTATCAAATGATGGAAATAGAGTTGAATAGGAATCATCCCCATACCATACTATGATATATGAGAGAATGAATCACTGAAAAATTAAAGACATAGAGAGGAGAGGAAAATTATAAAATTTATAGAAAATGACACCTGTGACCTAAGAAAAAACCAATGTGAGTCATTAAAGAGTCGATAGTATAGATGTGGAAATGAGTCTTTATTTTTAATTTATCTTCCTGGATAAAGTTAAGATTTAATTATTGTGTTGGTTTTAGTAATGATCTTTAAGTTGTCATTTTGAAATCATGTTGAACTATAGAAGAGTTGCAAAACAGAACTCCCAGATCCTTTCCTCAGGAATGTCAACTATAAAAACATTTTACCATATTGTCATTGTCATCATATACATTTTCCTGAATAATCTGAGACTTGGTTGCAGAAATGGTACTCCTTCACCCTCAAATGCCTCAGGATCTATTTCCTAAGAGCAGGGTGTTTTGTTTAGAATTGTCAAATTCAGTTGTTGTCTGGGTAACATCCTTTCCAGCCATCTCCCCTCCCTTCCCAGCTCCAGGATCTGAACAAAGGTCTCATATTACAGTTACTTGTCATGTGACTGTAATCTCCTTTAACCTTTGTCTTTCATGTCATCTGATTTTTTTGTTTGTTTTGTTTTGTTTTTTGAGACAGGGTCTCACTATGTAGTTGAGACTGTCCTGGAACTCACTATATAGCCCGGACTGG